GAGTGAGTTTGCCAGAATATACTCACTTCCGACACATAATTGTGATAACGATGGCAGTCAATTTAGAAGATACGCAACTTTGCTTAAGAACCGCAACAAACTCATAATTGGATTTACTCAGTATAAAGCTAACTATTACATGGTTGCTGATAGGCGTTTTTACGATTGTTGCTCTCGATATGGATTCTGCTCTGCATGTGGCATACTCCGATGTAGTCCCGTGTGGTGCATTTGTGGACATAAACAATTATCCGATGGATGGACTAGCAACAATAAGCGACTCGATGAGTTTATTAGGAAATCTCAAATACAAACCAACTCGGCAAATGATGCCTATTTGGAATGGATTCCCTTCGACTGTATTTATGATATGGGATATCGCCTATTCTATTTAAATGGTCTGCCTATTTTTAATTACATAAAATTGATTACATTTGAGATAACAGATGAGACAGATGATTACAACAAGGTAAACTATTCAATCATGCATCATAGTATTGAATTGTTGGATAATTATTGATTCAAAATAATGTATTATTTCACTAGTTGTGTGATGATTTACCAGATATTCTCTCAAAAGATGTTTGGATTACCATTGGATATACATATGATGCAAGTGAACAGAAGTATTATCTAATACGAGAAGGTTCTGGAAATGGATTATGTCTGGCATGTACACAACTATGGAATCCTGATATAAATATAAAGGCATTTTGTTATGAATGTAAAGCACCAAGACCCGTTGATTGGACGACTGGTAACAAGTCTTTGGATTCATTTATTATGGAATCATGGAGTAATGTAACAATGATAAATAATGCCCATATCCAATGGATTGAATACTCTCTTTTGATGGATGTACAAGAGATAGCATTATTACGACATGGATGCACACATATTGCAGAGTGGTTTAGCAAAATAACAAATGAATGGATAAAAGTGTCACTCAAACCAATAGTTGATGGACAGGATGCTCAGTCATTTGACTTTCATCAGGTAAATTATTTCACATGTAAACAGTGCAACAGTATTAACAACTTAAGTGTGTATCATGTATTAAAGGTGTAATTATTGTTTATTTCAATAGCTAACCAAGGAACACCCAGACATATTAACACCAGGTAATATTTGGGTTATTGGTATAACTCAAGAGCCAACTACTCAAGAATATTATTTTGTGTTCTACCATAAAGTGGACACAATAATAGAAGTTATACAAGCTCATTTAGATATAAATATACCTCATATGGAGTATGCTGACTTTCATAAAATTAAGGAGATTGGATCTGGTATTTACGGAACAGTCTATACTGCTCAATATAAAGACTATTTACAAGAGGATCTGCCAGAAACTGTTGTACTCAAACATTTTAAAAATTCTGATAAAATGCCAGATTTATTTATTACTGAGGTAAACAATTGTTGATATGTGTATTGACTCAAAATGATATTTTATCTGATTATTGGTATTCATTTTATTTAATAGCTCAGAACCTATTTAATAGTAAAGTCTGTTGCTGACTATTATGGTACATATACATATTCCAATCCAATTTATGGAGTCATGCAAAATCCAGAAACAAAAGAGTACATAATTGTTGTGCATTATGCTAATTGTGGTAGTCTCTTGTCTTATTTGGAAGAAAACTTTAGCAGGCTGACATGGAAGATGAGGTTATATTATTTGAAGAATATTGCATGTTATTTGCATATTATGCATAATGCAGAAATTGTGCATTGTGATCTTCATGGTGGAAACATAGGTTTGACTTACTGGATTGAAGAAGATGATGGAAAAGTTATATTAGAAAATACTGGTGCACACATATGCAATTTTGGTCACTCACAATCAGTGAATTCACATGGGTCAAAGTCAACCATTCAAGGTGTTTTACCCTCTATTGCACCAGAAGTTTTCCATACTTGTAAATTTACGAAGAAGTCTGACATATATTCTTTTGGTATTGTTATGTATTTGATGGCCACTGGTGAATCACCATTTAAAGATAGATTATTTGATAAAGATTTATTATGTGATATCATGGGTGGACTACGACCACTGATGCCTGATTCTACACCAGAGGAATATAAGAAACTTGCTGAGGTGTGTTGGGATGCTGATCCTGACAAGCGTCCAGATGCAGATAAACTCGAAGATATTTCCAATGTACTATATGATAAATCTGACATATGGGATCATAATAATGTGAGACCCTCATGTCTGGAGAAGGAAAATGAATATTCTAGTATATAGTAAGCTCTTACCTACTGGGGAATTATCTATGCTGGGAAACAGTTATGATCCACTTGCATGTATGAAGACAAGATCTGGTTAATGTGTTGATATTAAATAAGGTCATTTTACAATATTAACATCAGCCATTTATCTTAATATGCTTATGTTGCTTATTTTTTGTGGTTATCATGGCTTTTTTTGACGCCTCTAGTGACTCATAAACTTGTAGTTTATGCAAACTTATTATCTGCAAATAAAATAAACAATTCATGCATGACATTTATTAGTAATTTTAATAAAGGACACACAAATTTTATGCTGCCAATTGTAAACGACAAGCTACCATATTTCTCTGACTAAAGTACCCTGCAAGCAAAATACCCCTCAGCAGTTTTGAGGCCTGATTTTGTAAAAGACTGGGTACTATTCTCAAAGAAATAAATATAATCAAGTAAAATACCCGGGTATTATAAACAAATAATTTTATGCAAAGTACCCCCCTAATTTTATTTGTCAATATTAATAGCCATCTACCATATATTCTCATATAATATATCATCCTCATAAACGTCTCCATCAATATTACTAGTTATATCAATCACATTTTCTTTCTCCTCCTCCAACTCTGTTGCTAACTCCTCTTCTACACTAGCATAATCAAATACCAGATCATCTTCAGAGCCATCCATATCTACAGATAAACCACAACACTTAAACAATCATTTAATTAATTTTGGATTCACAGAATCCCATGTGCATTTAACCCAATTTGCTATAATAGAATAAGAAGGCTTGCGGATATGTCCAGAAGGAGTCAACTAATGTGTTTTACAACTGATCCACTCACTATAAAACATCCGAACCTACATAATAATTATTATAACCAAATATTAAGTAAAATCGTTTGCAATTAAACAAATAAACAAATTCTGCAATAAACTTGAAAACCTTATCCTTAAAGCTTTTGTTGATGGCCACATCAAGTGGTTGGACTTTGCTTGTCAGACCACCAGGAATCACAGCCAAATGTGTCTGCTTATTAGTGAATTCTTTGACAATATAATCAAGTGTATGACCACAGAATCAAAAAAGAGTTTGGGTTCCCAAAAGGATCGCGCTTACTCCAAACATTGTTAATCCAATATAACATCTCAGCTCCATTGCACCAGCCCTTTTCATTCACTCTAACATGAATGCCCTGAGGTAAAGTTTCACGAGAAATATTAGTACCATCTGCAAGACATGCTAGAATGACTGTAAACCAACTTTTTTCGTGTCCTGTAATTCTAATGTTAACAGACTTTGCACCGCGCTTTTCGAGAGTGGTAGAATAAGGTAAATCAAAAGAAAGTGAAGTTTCATCCATATTACCAATATATTGCAAGGGAAATTTATGTTCACGACGCATATATAATACATAACTCAAGAAATACTGTTGTTTATCAATCAAATCTTCCGGTAAATGCTGAGCAACAGTAGTCCGACGTCTATTTGATAGATTTGCACGAAACAGAAATCTATCCAACCAGCCAATAGAGAACTTGAAGTGAATGATATCCGGATAGAGAGAACGAAATTCTTCTTCCTGAGATAGCAATTTTGCCCTATGAAGAACCATATTGCGGGTTACGGCATTCCCTTTTTTACGAAGCTCTGAATACCATTCAACTAATCTTTTTTCAAGCACAGGATATTTGGCAGGACGTCCACCATGAACCTTCAAGATGTGAGCTGCGGCTTTCTGAAGATTTCTTTTCTTATTTTGCCACTCACGTACTTGCTTAGGTTGAATATCAAACTTCCTGGCAGTGCTCTTTATACTATGACCGCGCTCTAAATAATGTACAACCATTAATTTCTCCCGAACACACCATGAACGACGAACCTTATTGCTTAATCGTGCTCTGCGAACAGTGTTTGTTGTCATGGTGTTTTGCTGACGAGAATGTTGCCAACTGATTTCGTTATATATATACACTACCAATCAGATATATGCACTACAAAATACCCCCCCAATAGTACCAGGGGTACTTGAGTCGGAGAAATACGGTAATCGCATGCAGATTAATTTGTATTAGCATTTTTATACTAAATGACGAAAAGAGTCAACAGCAGCGATGTGATGTCATTTAATGCAGTAATTGATCAATTTTTGTAAATATTGTCATATGTAGTATTTTAAACGTACTATAAATTAACGTACTCAGTCTCGTCAGTAAGTCAACTTATTAAATAGTGAAGACAAGGAAACCAAACGAACTTGGACTATTACTATGTGATTAGAAGTGAGCTGTAACTTGTGCATTATTATGCAAGGACGCGTTTCAACAGTTAGTCTAGTTATTATAAAGTAAGAATATGTGTTGATATAATTCCGTATTCAAACCAAATCAATAAAGCATTATTTTAAAACAACGCCGTCCAACAACAATCAATAGGGCAAGTTTCTAGTTGAGATAATGTTTATTCTTCTGCTATACATTAACGATTCATGATACCAATACAACAAATGTTGAGATAACGTTCGACATTACGGCAGAATCCATCTATGTTTGAGGCTAAATGTTCGGTATTGTATTGTAAATTGGTTATTGCTAATAAATAAAAGAACAGCTAACAGCTATGTGTATTCCTCCTAATATTAAAGATCCAATCACTGATCACTGAATACCAGTATTGAACAAGATAATTTTATGACCTGATTTTATGACCCGATTTTATTTATGGCTAGATTTTATTGCGTCGTCGCCTAACCAAATGAAGCAAATGATCGACTTATCCCGCACAAATATGGCATAATTTTTTTTTAATACGTAACGGGATATAAACGAGGTTAGATAGCTATAAAATTGGGAAATTGAGAGTTGGGATCTGAGTGGGATACAACCAAGGTATATATATTTATATGGAATTGGAACAGGGAAAATTCGTCCGGCGTTGCAGCTGAGGTTGGGATATAACTGAAGGGGATATAACTGAGGTATGACTGTATACGCATAGATAGTATACGCACAGGTTTCGTTTCGGGAAATCGAAATGTACACAAAGATAAAAAGATTTAACTGGCCAGAGATGTAATACAGAAGTCACGCAACAATTTCTTTATAATCAGAGCCCCGTGTAACTTTTTTACGTGTAACTTTTTTACGTGTATCTTGCTTTTGCTTTTCACTCAATGTCCGCTGAACTAGATTTGTCAATTAAGTCATATTTCGATAGTACGCCTGTTTCATTATGGTCGTATTTGGGTTTTCTAAAGACATTGAAATCTTATTGCATCTCGAAAGAATATTTGCTGGACGATCTAAAGTCCATTTGGAGGAAGCGATATATAAACTTTCTAAGTAACTTTCTTGAGAAAGAACATGATAATGATATCAAAAATCGTGTAACTATTCTGATTCGACAGGTTCGTCAAATTTCTGTTTATTGCGTTTCATCTATAAATCGTTGTCGGTGAGTTCTGTGCAACCTATGAGGGGTGCCGTCCTCTCTGTGGTATGGGGTGCCGTTCCTCAGCACTGTATCTCACGATCTTCTCTGCTGTTGCACGGCCTAGGGAGGGTGCCGTCCTTCTCGAGGTGTGGGGTGCCGTTCCTCCAGAAAGATTATGTTATGTTAAATATATTAAACACACACTATTTTCTTGATTCATATTTGCTAACTGCTTTCTATTCCCGAGTTTATTAGAAGCATCCACCTGAAGAAGAGAGTTTTTGGGATGGTGTCAAAATAGAGAGAGAGTTGATGATAAAAGAGGTATGTATGACTTTTAATAGTCTTCCTTAAAGTATTCAACAATTTTGATTTTAACATGATCAATTGGCAATTTTCAGGATATTTTCGATAAGAAATCGCAGATAGAAGCGTTGGATGTGCTCTGCGTTTCTCGTAGCCAGAAATCTAATGAGTATGTTAATAAAGTAAATTCACGCCTACTGAAACAAGCTGAGATATCAAGAGAGAAAGAAGTGGGTACCATAATAGGACAAAAGCGATCTTACGAGGAAGACTTACCTTCGACACCACCGGGCAAGGTCCGAATATAACTTATTATTTAGTTTTCAGACATGTCTTTTAACCCTTTTGAAATACATGCGCAGATCAGAACAATCAGTACGGAAGTGGATAACGATTTAGCGTTCAGTGACGAGACAAACATCGCTAATAGCGAGGGTGATGATTTGTCTCCCGATGACGAAATTGATGATGTATCAGCTGAAGTCCAACAGTTTATTGCGAAAATGAAGAGAGTGAAGCACCGTCTTTTTGATTATCATATTGTCAACCTTTCTGAGCAGAATCAAATGGACCCAGTTAACAAAACCTTTACAGACGATGAGAAGAAAACGATGAGAAAATTCTGGGAACTTGTACGTACTAATTACCTAATACTAAAGCTTTTTTACATTTAATCAATTGTAATCTTTGTTAATTCTTGTAGGGTGAGCCATCGGCTGAAGAGAAATTAAACACTTTACGTCGATCAAAATGGGATAACAGCATAAAACAACTTGTTAATAAATATACGTCTGCAGTTGAGCTCAGATCGATTTTTGACGAAGAAGAATCGCCATCAGAGATTATTTTTGAAAGGCCGTTTAAAGGAAAGCTTGTATTTAGGACTCATTATGACCTGTTGTGGATTCAGGACGTTTATAAGCGATTGTAGGCAAAGAATTAATGAATAAATAATATTCGATCGCGCAATCATATTATTATAGTCAGCTAACACATCTTCATTCTATTTAGTATACTCCTATTTGCCATGCCATTCAATGCACTTCTTGATCCGGATGCAACTGAGTTTGCATATAGGGAATCATTCGTCAATCCAATCATTCCTAAAGCATTCGACGATGTGAGCGCTACTATCAGATTTAAAACGTATGTTGTTAAAAAAAAATATTCATTAGATTTATATAGTCTCTAATGTATTATGTTATGTTTAACCGTTGATTAGCGGGGAGGTGGAAAGTACCTTGCGAAAACAGCACAGAGACGAGACTAAAGGGCAAAAGCCGCGTGTCAACGTCGGGACGAACCATGACGGAATCCTCAAGATCTGCATGAATGCTAAAGAAATAGAAGTGGGTTTTTTGGAGGTCGTGGGAAATGCAGTGTTGGTGGATGTGACCAAACACCATAATGTCATGGATAAGTTACTTAAAGGTCTGCATTATTATTTCGAGGCTTTCCATGGTAAAACTATAAATTTAGTTGTTTCGATTTATTTTGCTAGCAATGCAAATATCGATCTTTTACCAAAGACGGTATCATCTGCAACGCAACGCAACAGAAGAACAGCTTGAATGCATCCAGAGTTATGGAGTGCTTGTATATCGTATGTAAGACATTGTGTTGCATTTGTTGCTGATTGACTAATTCTAATAATTAACCATTCACTTAGAGCGTGAAACAACAATTTATACAATGCATTTCAAAGGAGGATTGCATATTGTTGACATTCTCACAAGTTTCATAATCCCAGACAATGCTGACCAAGCATATGTATTGGCCGAAATTATGGAAAAGGTGTATTTTTTTAAGGTATCTATCTAGTTATTTTACCTGAAGCGCTTTCCAAAATATCTTTTAACTCTGGCTCAATCATTCGCCGCAGAGTCGGGTAATGGATTACTGTTTAAAATTGCAAAAAATATCGCGAAATGTTCAGAATTATATTCCTTAAAAGAGGGAAAACAAAATATTGATATGATGATTTTACTTAAGAGGTAATTGCTGAAGAACTTTTTTTTTCCTGGAATGAAAACCCTTTTCTCACTATTTTCAAAAAGTAACAGAGAATAACAGATTACTACAACATTATCTATTCCGATAACTTTCTTTTTTCTTGAATCCAAGAGGAAAAAAAGTTTTCCTGTTGTCAAAAATAATATTTGAGTAACTTCTTGTATATCAAATATTTCGGATTAGGCTACTCTACTCTTTACAAGTCAAGTGAACCTCTTAATTAATACAGACATGAATTCTTCAAGTCAATTGGGCATAGTAATAGGTAAAAGGTTGTGATAGTTTATGAAATACAAAATATTTTGCTTTACTATTCTGGATACAGTTGAAGAAATTAATAAATAGTAAACTTTTATGGGTCATGTGACTTTTTTTCTTATAATTATATGGCTTGTCATGTATGTGAATAAGCACACACGAATGATCACAGTAACCACAATGTATTGTATTTGTGCACGTGCCTTGCACAACACTTCTTGCATGTTGTTTGCTGACAAATATAAGTAAACGTTTTGTTTGTAGCCACTAGAGAGTATATAAGCAGGTACAGGAAACTTAAAGAAACCAACATTCCAGCAGAAATGATAGTTAAGTTCTTTGAAAAATGCGGCATTTCCAATGCTTTAGATGGCTCAGAAAATGGTTCAATTAGAGCGGAAGGTAATGAGGATTAAGAACATATTGTAGTAATATTGGAGGATATCAATGGAAACAAGGAGAACGAAGATTTTTGATAAAACTGATCAGGGGGGGGCTTATGAATCAAAATTTTGTACTAGTTCTAACATACCTAATATATAATACCCAACATGCTACTTACTGACTGCTTGTAGCAAATTATTTTTCCTCCAAGTTGCTTTTCATCCACTACTTGTCATTTATGCTAAATAAACCCTTTTACGAAAAGAATCTTTCACTGTTTAACAGCCAGCAAACAAAATATATAGTTTTTTCCTGTTGCATGATCTGGTTTTTTCTTAACACCACGATGCCATTAATAGTCGAGATGAATACGTCGAAGGCGTGTCTGAGGAGAGGTTATAAACATTGGCATTAACATTGGAGTGGAGAAGAGTTAATATTAGCCATTTAATATTAATGCAGGCACAACTGATTTTTTTGTTACGAGCGAGTTCATGTAATACGAAAAAAACATTAACACAAGTGGTCTGATATATATTAACTTTATACCTATATCGATATTACTCTAGATTTAAGAAATAAAATTGGGTGATTTAAAAAATACTACAATAGCATTTGATAAAAAGCATTGAATGTTAGTGTTCTGACCAATCGCAATAAACTCAATGTCATGTCACTATTTTATTTATTTATTCATTTCTATGTATTAGTATGAATGGATAACCAAGAGACCATGTTTTCATTATGTTGGGACAATTTGCGAGTTTTGTTTTTTTTTTATTTAGAGTTCGAATATGAATTGCAAAAAACGAAATAACATAGATAAGACACTTTGACACATGGTATTTGGTCAATATTGTCTGTATTATTCTTTAATATTAAAACTAATTGAAGATTTACTAGAGCGAGAACCAAAGCCATTAATGAGTATCCCTATACTTTAGTTGTGCTAGTGAACCTATGCTATATGTCATTGGTAATAATATTAACACATTCGTCTTCACTCCTCTAATTTCTTTGACCATTTTTCTTGAGAATTGGCCTTTTAGAATAAAGGCAATAATGCCTTTTCTTTCATGTGGTTTGTGGAATTTTATAACCACTTTGTTAAATAAACTGAGTCCAGCTCCTTGATTTTATCGCCTGCAAAAGCATTTGAATTATAATGTGGACTTGATATTGATTGTGAGTTTTATAATATATAGCAAAGTACCAGTGATAAGCATGATCAAAAGTAGCAGTCTGCAGAACATTCCAATAGTAATAGTGTATGCGAGCATTTTGAGCTGATTCTTGTAATGAAAATATGGTGAAATGGTGTTGGTTTATAACTAATCTTCAGTTTGTCAAACACCAATCAGAATCATTAATATTAAACATCACGGATTTGAAACAAACAGTTAGGTTAGTATGTACAAAAACTTCAATAGTAATTGGTGCCTCACTTTTAGTAAAGTGCAAATTAATATTAGAACAGAACTGTAGAACCCCTTAAAGAAAAACTGGGGTCAGATAAGTTTGTGGCATTTAGCAATTTGGACTCTGGAATCTTTCTGTGGTGTAATGTTCATGTCTGCCCATATTAATATGTTATTTGCTTGTTATTCCTCTAAATTACAATAAATACTCTTTTATTTTTGGGGAAATTTTCAATAGTCAAAAAAACAGAAATTAAAATGGCATACTTTGATAGCATAACCAATGTTAATGTGCTTAATGCTGAACTGAGCAAATCAATACCAGCACTATATCTCTAAGCCTAACACAAATGTCTACTCAACTTGTGTTGCAGCTGAGGGTACCACTATGTGTATTATTATTATACAAAACTAGAAATTTAGTTATGCCTGTCCCAGCTTCATCAGGCAAGAAGAGATGCCATTTACTAAGGTAATAAACCAAACTGAAATATGAAACATGATATAAATACTCAATGCTAGTGTGTAATATATGCTGGAAGCCCTATCTATATCTGTATATTCTACATTCAAATGGCAACCTGATTGAATAATCTATTTGATTAGGGTACTTGTTTTGTAATAGAATCCAGTCTTCTGGTTGTTCAGTATCTTCAAACTTAAATTGTTGTAACTTTGGTAAGTCAGCCTCAATGATTGATTTCAGTACTCCTTTTGATATTGAACTCTCTTTTATGGAGATGCTTGTCAATTGATGAAAGTTAATTGGTTCAGTGTTTAAATCATCTGAATAGAGGAGGTCACAGTCTTCCACAACAATTGATTCCAGAGAATTTGACTGTGACTCCAATAATTTAAATAGTGAACTCATCTTAATTATAGCATATTTTATAGTAATTGTCTTTAGCCGATGTTGAGACTGTATGAGTTTTTGTAATCCATGTGGTTCATGTTTAGCAAAGTTATAATAATCCTTTAACCAGCCCCAGGTACAGTTGTTGTAATGTTCAACTGAAATTGACTCCAAATTATGTACTGTCCTAGAAAGTGTGCTGAATATACTATTATCTAAAGTTAAAGACAAGCCCAAATTTTGCAAACAAGGAAAAGTGCTTATATAAAAATCCACATCCCGATACATAGGAATTATAAGAGAAAGAGTTTTGAGATTTGGGCAATATTCAGCTGCCAAGCGAGCAATCCTGAATTGGGTATTAGCCGACCTGAATCTGAAGTGCCTTGCTGTCAAACGTTGGATCTCTTTAAACCGAATCTCCTTCAAGTAAAGACTATAATCAAACGGAAACTTTTTACTATACTTTTTGCATAGTTGTGATGCATTCTTCAGAGAATCAATATCCGTGAAGCATTCAATAAATGTAGTTAGAAAGTTATCTGTTTCGTGAGTGAAATCGTAACCAACCCGCTGATACCGATTCAACAAAGTAAAAGGTTTGGCCCACAAAAATCGAAGAGCTATCACGCACCAATTTCTGTTAACTAAAATGCAGGAGTGAAGCGTAAAGAGATCGTCTGCAAACTCATCAAAAATCATCGCAAGAAGCTCGCGATACAAATAAGACGCCATGTTTCAGACGAGAGAAGCGACGACGTATTATGACATAATTTACAATCAATAGTATTTATCGCAGTAAATTTAACCAATGACAAAATTTTTCGGCGGTCCTTTTATTAGTTACACCTAGCACCTAAGATCGAACGCAACGCTAAAGGTGTAGCGGTTATGCCATGGCATAGCCCTTTTTGAAAGGCTAAACAAAGACACTTCGTCTTCTCCGCTCCGTCATGGCTTTTACATATCGCATTCTGGCAACCTGGTTCTTCACAGTTCGACGCACTACATCAGAGCCTCCAACCCAGGCACTGTGTTAGATATAATTGGGTGCGAAGTGACACTTTTATATTATACAGTTCACTACGTTCGCCTATACCAATACTAATTACGTGAGAGTGGCATTCCTATCTAGTGGTTCTGTAACTGATGTCAATGTGATAGTGAATGATGCGGATAATAGAATTGAAAAGAGAGTATAAGGAGCACGGCAGCTGCCCTATAGTGAATTTCTGTTTGTAGAATCAATTTCGCCTGTTCTTGACGTTGTGATGTATCTGTCAGTGACAAATTGCGTCCAGCAAGTGGTCGCAGTATTTCCGAATAATACAATGTTTGAGACCTGCCCATCTTATCTGTAATTCTTATACCACTTCAAAATATTATCGAAGGTGAGTAATCAATTTCACAATATTAATATAGGATTATTAACCGCATGTTTTCTTATGCTTCAATAATTGCCATACTCTCACCTTTCAGATGCTGGATTCTTGTGGATTCATCAGTTTCGCCGCCATAAGGCTCATCTGTCTTCAGATACTCCTAACATTACACTGACATTCAGAAATCAAATCGCTCTTTCGGGGGGCAAACCATTTACAATTACTGAGCAAAAGATGGAAATTTGATTCTCAGACAAGGATTCAACACAAAATCTCTTTTTGTACGATTGTGCGAATGACTCTGATGCTACATATGATGTCGATGTAATGAGAAAGAGTCTAAACCAGTCCATTTACCGGAGTGACGAAGGGGGATGGGGTGTATTATGGAGGTATGCAGATTATGGTTCTCTTGGTTGAATATTCGTTTGCTTATCAGTAATCTTGCCCCCGACTGAAGGAAAATATGCAGGTAAAGCATCATCGCGATTTAGTAAAAAGTACAAGTACATCTGACTGATACCTTCTATTCGTAAATAGACACCAACGGAACGACAATGGAGTGTCATGTGATTCGTGTTTTGTGTGTGTGCAAAATGTAAATATACTATCCATACACCCGGTCGTTCGATTTTCCATTCCCTCTTTATTGAACAATTATCTACCGACAATAAGAACTCTTTCTTAGACTCTTTGGTTGCCAAGATCGTTGAGCTCATCTCTGTTGATCCATCACATATAACCACTGGTTCATCAGATATTATTTCCCGTCCCCCTCAAGTCAACTGATTACAGATGACCTTGATGTATTTTACTGGCTACCTAGATGAGATATTTATTTTCACCTGCTGGTATGCCAATTGCTTCTTTTTATTGAAATATTATAATGAATGAAAACTAATACGCTATCTTGGTGTTGTTTATAATATATTTTTTCGTGAGAAGAAAACATACAGAGGTGAGCTGCCCTATATTAATGTAGACGTTTAATTTTAATACTGTCGTTTATATAAATGTAAATAACACGATTTTTAACCGAAGCCATTTTCACTGGGGTCAAAGTTTAATTGTCATAAAGCCTGCGCTAATACATAGCATTTGTACATCAAAGCACAAACACGTTCTGAAATTACAGTCAACTCTGTCGAGTGGTTTCCGTTATAACAAGAGACCGGTATATGATTCAGCCGTTATAAGGAGTGAGATTAATATATAATCTTTTGGTGCAGCGAAATTGGACCGGCATAAGGCGAAACCGGTATAAAAAAAGCCGGTATAGACAGAGTTGACTGTACGTACACCAAAAGGCAAATAATACCGTTAGTTGATTTGTCTCTCATATAAAACGCATTAATTGGATACATACCGGTGTCAATCTACTTATATCCGTAAGCCAACTTGCGTATCGTCTAAATTGACTGACATCATAATTGTGCTCGCGTATCGGAAGTAAGTACATTCTAGCACATTCACCACAAATATTGATTCCTCACTTCCAAGTAATAAAAGTTATCATTGTTTAATATCATAACCTAGCTGTTACGAACAGCATTATAAACAGTGTCAATTAGGCTTGATTTACATCATTGTCAATTAATGTACGAGCTACAATGCTTCACAGGATTACATCTGATATATGGTGTATCTCAGATACATGACAAAACTGAGATATGAGTTCTGAAATCGAGGAAAGTATTACAATATAAGTATATTTGGTCGATAAAAGCTACATCAATACCGGAACATTGCAAGTCTTTAACGGCAATAAATACACTTGTTGTCATGTAAAGTAGTTAATTTAGTTTGCAGTAATGATGTCGTCTCGCCAAAAACCTAAACACATCAGTCTTGCAATCGAATATTAAATATCATGCCTACTTGAAAAAAAATTTTTTGACAGCTTTATCTGGAAATCGTTTTCACCACTTCCAGTCTCAAAAAGACTAGTGTTTTATTCAATTGTCAGAAATACCTTATTTTGTTGAAAATTGAAAAGCATCGAAGAAAGTATTATTAATTACTCAATATATGAATGTCTAGTTTTGAACTGAGTTTGGTGGTCATAGTATCGGGATCACTACTATCTAGGTTGCATGTTAAAATAAAAATAGAAACGATACGATGAATATGCGACATAATCTATGTTGGATATCGAGATATCGATAGTTACAAAAATATGTTAACAGAAAGTCGATTCCGAAAAGTTCTCATCAGAGGTCATCCGAAAGTTACGGGAAGCCATGGATTGCATTTAATATAAGAATAATGATATAAGAACAAAGAGTATTGTTAGATATCTGAGAACTGACTCGAAATAGCAATCAGAAAACAGACAATTCGAGTAATAATAGACATATAATCCTTAAAGTAGAAATAATGGTCATGCAAAATGCGATACAATATGCTAGTGAGGTAGAGCAGAGTGAACAAAGGAACTTACTATAGATCGCGCAGATTTAGAATTTACGTCAGGAAAATTAGCTTAGAGCCACGAATATGTCTAGTCTATCACACATGTCAATAGACCATAAGATAATGTAACAGTTTTGCATTATTGAAGATGCCATTACTGAATTGTGCATTTATCAACGTTGTATTCGTATGGATACCTGTTCCAATTATAAGATAAGATGATGAGAATAAAGCTAGAAAAATACTTGCATTTATAAAGTCTTAATAATGTTGTCTTCCTATGACATGTAATTTTCGGCGGATACGTTAAAGCCATCCATGCATATAAAGAGAGGAGAAAAAATAGAAATGGTTTGGTTTCAGTGGTATCTTAGTCGCAAATTATTTCGACAAGTCAGCTTGTGGAAATATAGGATAAGCTGTCATCATTACTAAACCGGGCAAGCAGAAATAAGCGCTTTGCGACGGTAACACATTTACTAGCATGTGTTCACATGATTTCCGAGCAAATCAGCCTCTATATCACGTGAAATGCTCCTTTTTACCACCATCACTTTATTAGTAGTCACCTCGACCTTTTCTCACCATGTCCCACTACGTCGGTAGAGTAGAGAGAGGTCGTAGATTACTTCCGGATGAAGAAGATGCTACTAAACTCAAATTTGGAGAAGGTATGATTACATCATTGACATGTATATGTGTTATGTGGTTTTCTAATCCATCCGCTTTTTAGACTTCGAAGATGTCGTTGAGGTCCTCTTTATATCGGAGGCTTATTTGATCATGGACAAGACAAAGTCGCAGCAGAATAATACAAATACAGAGTCAGTGTTTCAGACATTATTCAACGTTTTGTTATCATTGCCATGTTCAATCGCTTATGTTATGGTCCATATGATGACAGCGTATATCGAAAGACTTGGGAATATGTGAGGAAGTTTGGAAAGTTTAACAATGAGGATGCTGTGAAAGACTTACGCACGTACGTTACAAACTTTTGTTGCTTAATTTGATATCTTCCGACTCACCCCCTGCTTGTTATTCTTCCCCGCTTGTCATAGAACACTGGTTAAACATAATCTACACAAATACGAGCTCGCACAGTTAGTAAATTTATGCCCTGAAGAATTGGATGAAGCCAAATCGTTAGTTCCAAGGTATTATCATCAATACAAATCGAACGTCTTGGTTGTATATGTTTCTACTCTTTTAATTCCTTTAATATATTCTCGTTCAATTTTAACCAGTCTGGCAAGGAGATTCGAAGACGACGAGATACGACAGATGTTAGAAGAGATCGCAACGCTGAAAAAATATCAAGCATAGCGTGAGATTATATTAACACTACAATTTTTAACATATCGTTTCATTCAACGTACTGAAACCACTATCTTATCCCTTCTGTCAAAGACAGCTACCAGCAAACAGCTTTTGATCTAAGGTCACTGTGAATAATAGCCTCCGACAGCACACCCCGAGATATCATTACAATAACGTCTAGTATATTCCACTCCCACCTTTTACGCATTTGTGATTAGACGATAAAAAACGTCTGCTTGGTCTGTTGATGAAACTGTCGAAACCATTTATAAAATACCGTCCTCCCTGACAGAGGGACGGCTAATTAAGTTTAGATCTATGCGTATTTTTCTTTATGATTTTCATATGTTCGTACAAATAATGTTTCGATCCTTTGTTGCAGATATTGATCCGAAATTAACCGATCTGGTATGTATTAGAACTGTCTGCTGACGAGTACTATGCTTCAATAAATAGAAATTCATATCTCCATAGTTAAAACTTTGCTAGAATACTTAAGTCCTCAATAAACTATCAGTTCATTTTTGTATACGTACCAAGACAAGGTGCTTACTAGAATTTGATCTTGCGGCTCTATACATAACCCAGTTTCAAGGCAACATTAAGGATACAACCAATTGTATTTAAAGGTTCCAATAACGATATAAAGAAAAGGGTTTTAAAATTGCAGACATAGTAATAGTTATCGGGTTTTTGCTTTGATCTGTCATACCTTTTATTCTCCTATCTAGCATAGTTTTACTTGCCGAGTTAAACTCTAAGTATTGAAAGTCTTTCCATTGTCATAACACCGAGTCTTGTTTACTCCAACTGTACTCGATTTTTTCACCCTAACAATAATCAATCCAAAGCTACCATCCATTCCACTTGAATTTAGTATGTCCAGGTACAATTCGATACTTTTATAATAACCGCAAATGACCAAATACAGAGAAAATCAAATAGTCGTACTAGTAATCTTTAAATGATTTTCGCTTTCTTTATTCCATTGTCAGTGTGCCATTAGTATTAGGACCTTTTCCCTATAATTATCGAGAACGTAATTAAATTTGCTTACCTATTGATCGGAATGTGGAACGTGAATATTTTGCGCTTATATTTAATCGTAACTGTAATCAGTAGTGTCAATGCTATAATAATCAACCTTACCTTCCGCCAATTCGTATTTTTATGGTAATTAATTTAACCTTAACCAGATGTTCTTTATAAAATTTTTTGCTTGCGAGCATTATACTGCAAACTATTCCGAAAATGTTGACTATATCAAATAAATCCGTCCTCAGACTCATAATTTGATATAAGACGTTAATTGATGCAATTTCAGCGTGCACGTGTTATTGTTTTAAAGATCCGCTGGTAAAAATCAAGCGATTGAGTAATGCAATTGTTATTTCTACCGGAAAAATTAGTAATCCATGATTATCAGTCAATTGCTATTTTGGTTTTCCATTTCGGCAGTCGTTTCATATTACCGTGAATACGCCATTCGCCATCATATGGTTTCCAATGTTTCTAATACCTAACATATTAAATACGTTCGCGTATTGCGATCTCAGTAGTAAAACGTTCTTTATTAACACGCGTTTTTTAAGGCGTCAGCTCGTACATACTTCCGCTAAAGCCATTAAAAATATATCTTGCTTGAGGCTAGAGATATTCAGCAAACTTTTCTCTCGGAATCCTTTACACAGCTTGTAATAAAAAAAAGTTTCAATATACAGTTAAATTATATTAACATCGCTGTCTTTCTTTTCTGGCAGTGTTTTATATTTCGAACCCGGTTTCGTCTTCGTTGACTCGGAGGCAATAAAGAATCTGTTAACTTGAAATTGCGAAACAAACACTTGAACGTTTGTTTCTATTTTTGTTGTCCAAGTATGTTATTTGTTCACCTAGGCGGTAATATACTGATTACAACATTTCTAACAGTATTTCAATATATTTACTAACCATTCGTCATAACTTATTGTCAAGTAGTATGTAAACCGTTATTAATCTGTGTTTAAGTTTTTTCAACCAAGTTATTTCGTCGGTCAACAGTCTAACACTTAATATATCAACTATAAAAACGCATGAACAAGATATGCTCAAAAGAAAGGCAGTTTAATGTTTATGAGAACAAGAAAATCTAATGAATTGTTCTTTATGACTAATAAACAGCGTTTCTCTGCTCTGTTTACATGCGTATACCAAAATTCTTTGAAAACATCAAATATTTTTTACTGATACCTTGACAAAGCAGATGAACTATATTGGCAGTAAGTTTACTATGAAGAAAATGTGTTCCGTTGAGATTATCGCTCACAAATGTGCAAACTTGGTTTTCTTCGAAGTAGTACGCCTCAAGAACTAGTAAACTTGAGCGCACGAAATAAAGTATAAGTTAAAGAACTTGCTCGTGAGAAAGATACTGCTTAGGACAGGTTTAACAAAATTGCGAATACGAAGTCAAGAAATCTGCATATCTAATTATTAATTATGCATGGTGTGACGTCGCCGGCAGTCATAAGAATGTGCAATTGGAAAAGCCGTATAATAAGTCAGTTATTGCTGTTGTCCTTGTTACTTATTACTATTAAATAATCATAACAAATATGAGTTCCATCATGCATGAAATCCTTTTCAAAAGGCATAAAAAAGCAGCTGAACAAGGACATGCTGATGCACAATATAATCTTGGTGTGTGTTATACAGATGGAACTGGAATAGAAAAAGATGAACAAAAGGTATCAAAAAGCAGCTGAACAAGGAGATGCTGGTGCACAATCTAATCTTGGTGTGTGTTATCAATATGGAACTGGAGTAGAAAAAGATGAACAAAAGGCAGTTGAATGGTATCAAAAAGCAGCTGAACAAGGACATGCTGATGCACAATATAATCTTGGTGTGTGTTATACAAATGGAACTGGAATAGAAAAAGATGAACAAAAAGCAGTTGAATGGTATCAAAAGGCAGCTGAACAAGGATATACTAGTGCACAAAATAATCTTGGTTATTTATACAGAACAGGTATTAATATAGAGACAGATTATCAAAAAGCTGTTGAATTATATCAGAAAGCAGTTATGCAAGGAGATTCTTTTGCACAAGATAACCTTGGTTGGTGTTTTGAAAATGGAATAGGTGTAGATAAAAATGTTCAAAAAGCAGTTGAACTGTATCAAGAAGCAGTTAAACAAGGAAATGTTTTTGCATATGTTAGTCTTGGTTTATGTTATAAAAATGGAATTGGGGTAGAAAGAGATATTCAAAAGGCTGTTGAATTTTTCCAAAAAGCAGCTGAACAAAGAAATGCATATGGGCAATATAACCTTGGTTGGTGTTATGAGAAGGGAGTTGGAGTAAAACAAGATGAGCAGAAAGCTATTGAATTATATCAAAAAGCAGCTGAGCAAGGGTACATTAAGGCACAAAATAAGGTTTATTTTTTTAATTACAATGATAGTTCAAAACTAAAAATGAGGGTTCAAGAACTGGCAGAGTTTTATCAAGTGAAAAAGGAACAAAGTTAAAATTGAAAAATCTAGAACACAATAATTATTTTTATAGTTAAAGTATATGAATAAAGGATGTTGCAAACTGATAGTTTATTAGCATGATAAAATTTATAAGCCATTTTTTTCCAAAAATTTACTTCATTGAACATTTCAGTATTGTAAGATCTTTTTTGTCCTTTATTAGATGCAACCTCTAAAACTGCTGTTGGATCAATTATATGAGGGAGAGCATTTGTATATCAACCATAACATTTAACTTACTAACCTTTTTAAATACTCACCACCTTAATCAGTATTGTATAGATTATTATTTAATACCAGATATTACGTCTATTTCTTTCAATGGGACTAGTTTCGAAAGCTATACAGGTTGCGGAAGTCTATACTAAACAAACAATTAAATAATAATCCTGATGCCACAAGTTCGACTTTGTTACTGCTGACGGGGAAAGCGATAAAGATATCATTGAATCGCATTCATGTGCTTATTATGACCCTGAAAATACATTGTGGCACTTTATTAGTTCACTTTTGTTGTAGCATGCCCAACAAAGTTCCCACGCTAGCATGCTAATATTAAAACGCAAGATATTTATCAAAATTCATGGCTTATCAAATCTACGATATCACGTACTAACGTCTGCATATCAGCTTCTCTAACGCTACCCGCGGCCAACACTTCCTCATGACTGACAGGCGCTTCATCACGTGCTTCGGCATTAATGGCACTAGGATCAGCACTCCGTCCTCTTTCCATAACCACTGCATTAGTGACCAAACTCAATCCCAACACTCTTATTCCACAATGTCTCGCTACAATGACTTCAGGTACGGTAGACATTCCAACAACGTCTCCTCCTAGATCTCTCAAAAATCGTGCTTCGGCCTTACTCTCGTATGAAGGACCAACTACATAGCAGTATGTGCCCTCTTTCAACGTTCCGACGGGAAGTCCCATATTGGCGGCTGCTGTAAATGCGATCTGACGAAGAGTGAAATCGTAGGCGTCGGAAATTGGTATAAAACGGTCACCAAACTCGGCGAGATTGGGACCGATTAGCGGGTTGCTTCCTGTTAGGCATGGTAGAGAAAAGTGATCGAAGAGAACGGCAATGTCCCCTACTTTAAACTGTTTGTTGAGTGATCCTGTCGCGCCGGTTACTTTGTTATGTTTTAATAAAAATGTCGATTAGAAGGATAAGAGCGAAGTTATATAATGATTCTTGAGACAAAAACACCATCCCTCATAAATGACTTGGCTCCCGGCCTTAGATCCAACTTCATATTCACATCTCACTATGTATCAAATTGCAAATGATTTCTCGTATGAAATAGCTTACCAATGAGCACTTTGACACCCAACAGCTTAAACACCCGGATCGGTAATGTAACTTGCTTTAATGTATAGCCTTCATAAAAGTGAAACCTCCCAACCATGCACACAACAGGAACACGATTCTTTCCCAATAAACCAAATACAAGTTTTCCAGCATGTCCTTGAACTGTACAGAGTATATGTGAGTACAAGGGAAGGCTAAAAGTTAATTGATCCGTCTATTCTCCACTTCATCGCCACTTTCTATCTATCTTCATTCACGCTCCAGAGACGCCTCCAACACCCAAAATAACCATTCTAACCTGTACTAGACACAAACTCTGGTATTTTCTCATAGGCAAATTCCACTTTTTCTGTGATATTGGCTGCAAGTCCTCCTAACCCAGAACCGCATATTATAGCTATTTTCGGCAAACTCAAATGGGAAGGGAGATTTTGTCTCAAATATTCATTAGCGCTATTTATCTTTGAAGCTGTGTCGCCCGCGAAAGCAGTGTCAGACGGCGGTGTCATTTGAACAAGCGTAGTTGACGGAGATGAGCAGAGCAGTGAATGGAACAAAGTGTCACGAGCAATTCAGGGGTGGTGGTGAGATAATAAGTCAAAGTGTTAATACATTGTGGTTTTCTTGTTTTGGTTTCTTGTTTTTGATTACCCGTTTCATAATTACCTAATACAGCATATTCAAAGTAGCGACAATGTCATAGTTAAGGTAATATAAACAATGCATCAGAGTATGAAGTCTTTGTTCGATTTGTTAATAATATAACAATTCTTTGTCTTTCGATCCGGATAGTAATAGCGACTCATTATTACACCACCACCGAAATTTCTTCCGACATGCACATGCTTGTGTTGTTGTATCACGATCTAAGCCACTGCAAATTTAGTATTCACATTAATACGGGCGAGAAATACAATTAACCAATCGATCGGATCGCAGTTAGCTGGTCGTTATAAACTGCGGATTTTATGTAATGAGTGAAATGACAAAGCACAGGTATCATCGTAAAGCATCCAATTATAGTTATTTAACCAGTATATCTATTCTCTTGTTGAGCTGACATTACGCACGCACACGTGCTTACTTTCCGCATACTGTTTGTTCGGCAGGTAAATACCATTGTGGTGTTACTTTATTGACGATGAAAACCTAGCGATTTACTCATCTACCAAGTTTTGTTTATTATCTTAAATATCATAGAAATCAACATGTGATCCAGACTCGTACGAATCGCTGAGGATAAGGTTGACAAGCTTTTTGGCCGAATCAGACATGTTCACCAATTGACCCTATCAATAGGACATTGAATATCATTGTGTCGCAATATCATATATCGACCAAGCCTTCATCTTATATGTTACCTTTTCGAATCCCTCCCGAAGCTTTTCCCTTTGGTCATCATCTCCGATTGTATTGCGCACGAGAGCCTGCATTTCATTATCTAACGGACCAGGCGCGTAGTTGAGTGTTTTTGTATTATTGCCTTCCTAATAAAAAAAAAACCAAAACCTTTTAAGTAACAAATCATCAACGATACTATCACTGCGTAGGTAGCAATCGAATATATGTGTTTTCGTCATTACCTCTTCGAGCGCGATCACTCCGATAAGCTGGTCTCTTGCTGCTTTCGTCATGCAATAAGTTCCCCAATAAGCGCAAGGTTGAGTGGCGTACAAGGAAGAGATGTTGACTATAACTCTCTGGTTGGTAGACGATACCGGAATCAATTTGAGAAACATGGAACTGAAACAAAGATATTGCTGAGCATAAAACATCCATAATACTTAGAGGTAATGCTATTGTTGATGCCTTATAATGACCTTACCACAATGCAACAAACGATGTTACATTAACATCTAAATGTCTTTTTGCTTCCTTCCAGTTGTAATCTTTAACAGTGACTGATAGATCTCCAAGAGTTCCAGCATTGTTTATCAGAATGGATTTTGAGAATGTGTTGGACTTTATCAGTTCCTGTATGGAAATGGTTATTAGATTACATGCATACGACAATGCAATGGTGATGCTAATTCATTGCTTAATTAACCTCAATCGCACTAGATACTGCTCCGATATTCTCATCCAGATTGTCGATATTTCCAAGATCGAAATTAGCAACAGTCGATACATGCACGCTGTCATTTTCAATACTCTGGGCGGTTGAGCGTAACTGCTCTCGATTTCTACCAATTAATACCAATGATAATTTGACATTTTTTTTGGTAGTTATGGTTGATGCATATGTTAGGGCTATCTCTCTGCCAAAACCCCTATTAGCGCCGACAATAATGCACAAGTGATGACCAGTCATAATTATTTGCGTGGGAAGAACGAAATGGGAAATGGGTTATCTTATGAACATTGTCACGTGGTTAGTGTGATACCAGAATAAGGTTATTGTTCTTAAATTTACGTTACGAGAGTTTGTTCTTAGCAGATCCCACAATTCTTTATTTTCCAGTATCTTTTTTCAAACAAGTCTACCTTCATTTGGATGCCATCACCTTTCATTGTGTGTATTGCAAGAAAGTAAAACATAAATCATAGTTTTTGTTTCATAAACTTTCGCTTGATGCTTGCTCCACAAGTTTACCTGCTTGACCTAAGTTGCAGCCAATAAAAAAGTTATAACAGGTTATTTCGTTTTGTCGAGTCAACTATTGCATGAGAGTAATTGCTCGCAAACCTTGGGATTGGCTATTTTAAACGGAGCTGTGGCTTCTCTAATACAATAAAGTTAGTCAGGCTTTACTACTCACGACCTAAAGACGCTAATCCTTGGATAGTTATTCGCCCTCGAGTTAGTCGTTCCAGTGGAATGAGAAGCCTGTGGGTTATAGGGTACGAGTTTTCATTTAAAGCGAATAGCAATGAGACAGAACAAGAAACGAATATTATAGGTGATTATTCAGGGAACGAATGATCAACAATGTACTTCAGAGTATACAGAACTAATCGCTTATTAGAAAGGAATATTAATTAAACATTAAGGAAAATTATATGAATTTAGCGAAATATCACGCTTCTTATATATTTATCTTAGCTGTAACTTTTCTCTGTGCGTGTCAATACTAACCTACTGCTAATTAGTATAATAACACTGCACTGTATAGCGCTGATCCTAAAAGCCTGTGTCACCAGTGGAGCTTGCGCGGAAAGAGCCAATGGAATTATTCAAAAAACGTGTTTCATAGTCTACTGATTACCTTTGAGTAAAGTTATAGGAACATCAGTGCTATTTTTATTGCAATTTAAAAGCTAAATAAATACGAGCAAAGTTAAAAAGCAATGTGAATACTTTTTGCAGATCCATGTGTGAAAAATGGCACAACTCCTCCGTAACAATGGTAACTAATAAAAGAGGCAGGTCACGGGATACAGTTATGCAGAACAGCACCATCAGCAGTCCTTTGATTTGATTGAGAATATCTTCTTCTCTTTGGATTAATACTTACATTTCAAATGCCGCGAGGTATCTCCGTCTCAGCCGATCTTAGACAATTACTTTACAATGCTAAATATTCAGACATATCCGTAGTATGCTCTGATGGAGAGCTACCAGCTATCCGTTCCATCCTTGCAGCACGCTCCGAGGTGCTCGACAATCAACTTTACTCATCATCCACAACCACATCCACTATATCGTTCCCGGACATAAAAATCTCTGCCATGAAAGCGATCCTAGAGTTTTTGTATACGGGTGCAATCGGCGATAACGTGCTAACAATCGACAATGCGATCGAGACATACCACGCGGCCGATTGCTTTCAACTAACTCCATTAAAAGATGATATTGTGTTGTACGTTCGAGAAACTCTAAAAGACTCTCATATCGATTTGGCTGCCAAACTATTGTCAGAAGCAGCAGAGAAGATGCAGTCTAGAATAGACAATCCTCTCTTCAAACTGCTTTCGAAGCGAGTGGCTGCAACTCCGCTTCACTCGATTCGCTACGATAGACTCAATTCGGAAGCACTGCAAGTACTATTATCTCAAACATTGAACAAAAAGGATGAATTCTTTGCTACACCCGAATACGGCGTAGTCAGATATGTTGTCTTGTGGTCGGCTAATACAGTCTCTCCCAAAGCACTGAAATTTTATGATACCCATCTTCCAACAACGGAATCCATTGAACGTAGTATTCCCAAGGAAGCATTGTCCGAAGCAGCATTGTCTGACCCTGGATACACAGACTCCAAAGACCAAATGACAAAGCTAATAACACCGATTGCCAAGAATATAGACTTGAGCTTGCTCCATCCGGACGTTATTGCGAATATCATTGAGCCGTTGGACATCTTTCCCGCGCGTAAACTACTTGAAGCTTATCGTTTCCATTCAACGAACAAGATCTTTAGTAACGATCGTCGTGGTTTGCCTCCATTCCGCTGGGATCGTTCGTTCTGTGGTAATGGCCTTGTGCTTAGTGATCAAGGCACGGTTGTTTCTGCGCCACCCACCGTGACATTACATCAATCTGTCCGGGCGGTAAATTGTTTTTCAAGTCCTAGAGTGTATGAATGGGATGTCGTTATTGAAGAAACCTGTGGATGGGCTTGGGTAGGTATAGTTGATTCTAATGAGGAACAGATCGATTATCAAATATTTCTTGGAGGACAGAATGGTGCATGGATATTGGGGAGTAATGGATCGTCCTATCATGAGAAGTTGACCAAACAGCATGTAGTGCCATCTTTTGAATCGAATGGAACGACAGTCACTGTGCACTTGGATTTGAGGAGGAAAACTATGGCTTTTTCGATTGACGGGACAAAGCATCCGGAAGCCTTTACAAATTTGCCAGATAAAGTACATCCCGCAGTGTCATTAGTTGGGAGTGGGAGATTTAAGATTTTGCCACATATGTAATTTATGGATTCGGTAGAGACTAGCGAACGGGAGCGGTTGGATGTTGATTTTCGATATAATTAATTAGAATAGTATTATAAATATGATGAATTTGATTTATTAACATTCAACTAGTGTTATTGAAATGAATTCTGGTCAAAAATATAATATGTTGGCTAGAAGCATTTTGTCGAATAGTTTGCTATCCGTAGTGAGAGAATCGTAGTAACTCATGTGTATATATGGGAAATACCTTTAATGGTATTTTCTCTTTTGTTTTGTCGAGTTAAATTTTACTCAGTTTGCTTGGTCACATAGATTCTACTTTTCTCGTGTGTTTTCATTCTCTTCTTCAAGCTCCTCTCCCTCATCCACAGCCTCTTCCTCTGCTTCAAATGCATTGAGTGGGACTGCATACAATTTTATGGCAGACTATGAAATAATCGGAAAGATTAGAAGACGGGAGAGTTTAAAAAACACAATTATGTGACGGTAAATTATATATAGCCGCCCAATATATTAACTCTTGTCGATCACTGACCTTATTTGGATCCTTCAACAGTACATACTTCCCATCAGGTTGTTTCATACATAGATCAACTATTGTCCTCACTATCCCCCATCCATTGGATGTAACTAGATTCATTTGATCTGTGAAATCACGTGGTTTATATGTATGTGTGCCAAGGATAACATGCCGACGGGCGTCCTTTGGACTAGCGCGTGAAACGTATCTAAAATTGAACGCATCATTTAGCAAATGCTTATCGAAGGGGAAAAAAAAGAATACTAACGATTAGAAAGTAGCGACCTACCCTAACTTCATCTGATCGACGCCAGCCAATATACTCTGGACAGCCCATCGAGCAAGCTTACAGCTGTTATTCTTCATTTCAGTAGCAACAACTGCTCCGCGCTGTGCATCCAATGTTTGTCGCCAATCCAAGGCACCAGCAGCTCCTTGTGCACGAGAATCAAATTCGTTCAATGCTTTAATAGTGATCATCGTATTATCACCACTGGATGACTTGGCGAATGCATCAACTTGTGTCCGAATAATAAGAGTCACATTCTCTTCTGCTTTTATGCTTAAATTAAATTTACGGTATCGATAGGCACATGGAGCCATGTCATCAACTTCCTCGGGTGAAGCAGCGAATGGATTTGATTTTTCAAATTCTATTCTGTCTGCCTGCAAGAACAAAATGTTCCAGTCAAAAATACATTCAGAACGACTTGCAAGAGCGTTTGATAGGCGGCAGGTCATACCTCGTTTAATCCTTGAACAGCAAAGCAATGATTGATAAGTGCTGCTTCTATAGCTAATGCACTGGGCGAATTAATGCTATCCTTATCGGCGCTCTCCATTGGTGGGTCAGCTGCATTCTCATTGACAGTGAACAAATCTACAATGTAGAAGATGCCTTACCGTTAGCATGTGAATATCATATCGAGATTAATAGTTACATATAATTTTCTCTACCATATAGTCCAGTATCTCGTCTGTCAAAGAAAAGTTGGTTGCCCGTTTTATTAATGACTATATCCCACGGATACACCGACCTCGTTGCACACATCAGGACGCTAAGAATGGTATCGGTTGCAAAAATTGTCGCCGCTTTATTTTTGGCCAACTGTCACAAGTAAGTTTTATCAGCATGATTGTTATACTATTACAAGCAAAATAACACGGATTGGAATACTTTACCTGTTCGATAACAGGATCCTTCGATGTGGTCACAAAGATTCTTACTCTTTCGGTCGATCGCAGAGGCCTTTCTGTCTTTGTAGAGATACGATCATATGACTTGTCGTACGCATTCAAATATCCATGGGATGAACTGAAATAAAACAAAATTAAATAAACATTCTCAGTACATACTCCCGGGTAACATATGAGAACTAACTATCTCTTCAAGTCATTTACACACATATTATCAACATCTTCCTCATCATCGACGTCTAAATTGAGTTTGGAAAGTCGATTGAATTCGATTTCCTCAAGTAGTTTCCATTCAGGACTTACGTTGACGGACGCATCACGAATACGTTGCGGCTATATATACGATCAAAACTATCGTAAGCAATACTGAAATCAATAGACGCAAGCCAAACAATTTAACAATCTTTTTTTTTTCAGGTTTACCTTGTCATAATCCTTGTATCCAAAGCGACGCCGTACGGCTGTAGCGGTGTTCTTTCCTCCCATATGTCTACCACCAACACCAAATCGAAATTGATTATAATTAGACCTTTGCTGTCGCTGCTGCTGTCCTCGTAAACCCCCTCGATTCTGCCAATGTGCACGTCAATGACCAATGGTTAGACCAAGACGAACGAGTACGTCAAAACAAGTTTCTTCTACCTTGGCACCTCCAGTCGTCCGATACTGAGCCTTCTTTTGCGCCGTTGATCGATTGTCGACTACAGAAAAGGAGGCTTCATCTTCTGCATGGGTATACGCAAAGGCACTAGATACACCACTACCATATGCAGTGTATTGATGATCTAAATAATAATAATAAAAATTTTTAGACAATGAAAAATCGTTTCAAGTTCCAGCATAATCGCGAAAGAACATACCGCGGTAACCACGGCCAGCCCTTTGTCTGCCAGTAGCTTCTTTCTCTCTCTGATCGGGTGTTGACCAATCAGCAATTCTGCCCAGTTTATCTGCTTTGCTGTATGGTGCATACGGTATGTCCCTAAATTGTTCAGGAAGCATTACAGGAGACGGGCCCCATCCATTCTCGTTGTCAATTATTTCTGGAAGAGTAAATGCGCGACCTGGTTTTACATGGCCATTCTCGTCCGTAGTTTCTGAACTTGTAAACGCAGGATCTGTCATTATATGATCTGCAGAAATGAGAAAAAAATAAGTCGTCTAGGTTTTAAGTTCAGGAATTTTTTCCGTGTCCCGTGATTAAGATCTCATCAAATCACGTTATCTGCAATATCTCAGAAGGAATACGCGTTCTAATTGGATTATAATTGTATGTCTTACTTGTTGTCTGAACAAACAGAAAAATTAACAATTTTATGGCTTAGTTACAATATGTGTTTCGATCAAACCACTTTTATTAATAGAAATAGTAATAATTTTGGAAACGGATTGATACATTTCGGTGAGTGCTGTGAACCGCAGGGGGCTCCTAAATAAAAGACAATCGAATTGCATCAGTTGAGACTAAATCTAAAAGCCAGTTTCCTTGAAATTGGTGCAACACTTAAATAATCATTACTTATAAAAAGGATGCTAATTTTCAATTTGCTTTACATGTCGCATAAATATTTTCAATAAATTGACCTGTACGTGTCTGAATTATAATGTCAAACCAATTATATGCCAATTCATTTTAAAAGCATTGGTGTAGCATTAAAAATACTCTAACATTCGATAGCATTCTCATGTATTTCAATGAATAGGTTAGTCACATTCGAGGAGTATAAATTGCAGCTATGGATTCACCAACTGTCAGCGTACAAAGTGAATCAAATTGAGTGTTGAAAATAATTAATTTATTCCAATTGTTCGCGGAATTGGATTAATATTATTTACACATACTAATACATAATTTTAGCTAGGCGAACGTAACTTCGTCACTCTACTCTCTCAATCATTCGATTGCTTAGGATCAATTGAGCTAATCTCCACCACAATTGCCGGATAAGTTGCTCTGCTGATATGAGGTTTCAGGTCCAAGAAGATATGTGGATCCCGTTCAGTGTAAGGCAAATTGCATATGAACGTCACAGTGGATCTAATGAATAAATTACGGAGTGTACGGTTTTCGCTTGCAAAAAGGAGAAACCCAAACGTTTAGTACTACTAAAGAAGTACTCTACTCTACTCTACTCACAGACTCAGCTGTCGTTCAATCGTATTAATACGCATGCGTCTGCTGACTGATGCATATACGATTCAATAAGAATGAAAATTATACATTCAGAAGATATGTTATGAGCCAACGGTAAACGCACATTTAGAGACGAGATTATTGACGTTGCTATCACTATTAGTATATGCGCTGACATTATTTGTAGATCAACTAGCCAAGATTATATAAAAATCTGTTTAGAAAGATGAAGATACGGCCTGTCAAATTTTTAATTTACTCTAAGAATTGCTATGTAACTCTAACACAATTATGTATAGCTATCAGCACTCGAAAAGCTTGCCTCACTATTTAATAGAGCTATACAATTGACATAACGCAAACCAAAATATAGATATTGATTCGATATGCTTTAACTATTACCGTTTTATATGTTAACTGAAACCCGAAAAAGTTGTCAAGGCTTTAGTTATTATGTACTAATAGTACTCGCGTATTGCAATTATATCCTTTACCTTGTGTGTAAAATTGGTACTGGTCACGTCGGTTTTTTACACAACTTTGACACCAAACCAAATCACCAACCACCCATTTCATAGATCATAACTCATATTCTACACAATAGCGTGGTTACGTCCCCCAATTTTAAGCGGAAGACATCACAATAACTATTAATACGAGGGGCAAAATATCACAAGTGATTGAAGAGAGTAAAATAATTTGCTACCGTACTATGTTCAATTCAATTCCGTGCGGCTCACGCACACTTGTTGGAATGACATGGAAAAATACCTTATTTATTATTCAGTCTAACAGCTCAATATATTCCACATACAATTGCGCGGCTAAAAATCAAAGTCGCACTTTCTACTCGCTGTGAGACCAACTTGGTAGTTGGTTCATGAGCTTTTTTTTTCCGACAGTCTGTTCTCGAAGACGTTCTATTATTGCAAGCGAGAACATGACTGTTTTTGGGCAAGATGTCTCTTTGCGAATCATCCAATATAAGAAAAATGAAGGGGAAAAAGCTCAAGATTTATGGCCGGCGAGAAGCGATGCTCAGTAGTTAATGCAAAAAGCCAAAAACTAATGTGTTTAATGCCATGCTCTCACATAAACTTTATGTGTCTATAGCGATACAATACAAAAAGAAGAAATTCAAGAAGCTTCCAGAACGATAGATCAAACTTTACAAGTATCAGGAACCAAAGAGTCTCATCTAGTGTACATTCAAACCCAAACTATCCCCGTATGTGGCGGTAGCGCTTTGATACTCAGAATAGAGCGTAAGCGTTTATAAGCAAAGAATAAACCGAATTTTACTTCAATAAAGCATAAATCATGACCATCGTGATGTATGCTGTGCAATAATGAATACTTCTTAGTTTACGTATTTATTGAAAAATAGATATCGGACCCGGTGCTTATACGAATTACTTGTTAATACGCAATAAGTTTGTGATCATTGTTCCTAGGTCACGCATGAATAGCATCGACCGTAATTGTCTTCATAATGACTTGAACGGTGTTCGGCGAGGGGACATAATTTCATATTTAAGATGCAACATACAGTACAGTTTAGTAGAGTATATCAATTAATGTTCGCATTAACGATAAATGAAATATGTGTTATTAGGATAATAATATTGCCTATAATTAATCTTTTTTACACCAGTTGGAAATGTTTCAATTTTCAGGTCACGTTCCATAATATCTAACTTTTCTTCCGAATATAAACAAACCCAATAAAGATATACACGTTGCTAAATAAAGTTAAAGTTAGAATAATTGAACACATATGCACACTATGTCAATGAATAAATAAACCATACTCACATTGATAACAAAGTCTATAACAATGTCATCTTCAGACAAAACGTTAACCGCGCATGGTAAAATGTATTCAGTCTGGTAGCCAGTATATTCAATATCCGTCTCATATTGTATTTCTTCAGTTGATGTTTTTATTGTTGCCTACAAAATAAAAACCAAATTTTTATGCTCATTATACAATTAAGATTAAAATACATATTTCGATACTTACCATCATTGTAATTGTTGACTTCAATTCATTCCACAAAAAAATGCTGAGTTTGTATTTATTTGGAGGTACTTGGAATATGGGTATTGTTACCTAATATACAATCGTTTATTAATTAATATTCACAACATTGTACAAAGCGTTAGACTATTTATATTGTATTGATAATTAACCACTTACTTTATTATTTGCACGAAAGCACAAACATCCCTCATATCTATTAAATAATAAACATTAGTAATAGTATAATTATAACAAATGATTATTATAAATACTCACATATCGCATCTACTCCTATCTTCAATGTGACTTTCAAATGCAAAATGTGCCTTCAGATGACCTATAATAATAATAAATATAAAGTAGTTTAGTATGCATAATAATATAATATATAAATTTATGCAATCAAGTGTAACCCCTTACCTTTGTGCATATAGTATACTTTTTCATAGAACGCCTTTATATTGTTATACTTTTTATGCCAAGTTACAGCCGTGTTGTACCATCTGGTGTAATCATCTGTTCCATACTGATGGTTACACAGTGATTGCCATTGATCAATTTTATCTAACATATTAATATCAATTGATTTATGAGAACAACTATCCACAAGGAGTTTAAACCATTGCACATCAAAGTGCTCAAGTTTGTTTACATATTCATTAATAACATCAAATGCCTGTATTTGCCAATATGGATGACTAATATGTCCAATATCTTGTTCAGCTCCTTTCTTATTCCCCAAACCTACATGTGCCACTAAACTTAAATACCAAGCTTCACTATAAACCTTGTTTACTTCAATTGCTGTCTCAATATCAAACAGGGCTTTGCCAAAATTTTTCATATCCAATTT